CTTCAAGGTGGGTTCTCAATAACCTAATTAACTGAGGCAATATAATATAACTTCTAAAACTAAAACAGAGGTTACTTACGTTGAGCCGAGAAAAAAGGCAAGAGAAAGATTAAAGCCAAAAAGAAAAACAGAAACAACTGCTGTGAGGAGCATTGCCACTGAAGTTGAATACACCTGCAAAATGTAAAGTAGCTAAATGACAACGGAAACTGATTTGATGCAGTGACCATGATCTCAGGCAAAGGAGAAAAACAACATAAAACCCTTAACTGCAGCTAAAAGTAATTGTCATGGATTGACTTGCTAGAACAAACTACTTTCTAGCACATTAGATTGATGCAAAAGTACAGAATTGAAGCTATGTTTCCATGTCTTACCTTAACGATGTTGTCAGCATATTTCATAACCATAGATACAGCAATGCCACTGTAAACAAAACAAAAACAACGAGTAATGTTAGAAAAAAGAGAACAATTCTCATTATGAAAGAACAAACAGTGTTTACGAACTGCTCATGCTAGAATATAACATGAAGCCCAGATAGACATATAATTTACCTGAGTGCGTGATTGAGAATCATTAGGACCGTAATAAATGAATATCCATGAAAGAATCCCCTAAGCAAAGAGATAAATTCTTATTAGTTGGGGAAACTATAAAATATGTAGCGCTTACAACAAAAGGTAGAATCAGAAAACAGAAAGAAAGGTGCAATTACTTGTTCATCACTGCATCAAAATCTTGAACCAATATAGCAACAGCATTGAAGGCCATTCCAAAAATATACAACCAAAAGTTTTGCACATTTATATTCCTTGAAGGACGCTTTTTTATTATAGCCTGCAAAGAGAACAAGATTTCGGAAACAATTGATTCCACTGCCCACAAAATCAGAGCGTTCACCTTTTTCACTCACTGAAGAAATGAAGTTTACCATGCCAGATAAAATAGTGCTTCTGAAAAATCCTTAAAAAAACCAATGTGGCCAAAATTTTGAAAAGCTGAAATAATCACAGCAATAGGTAACCCAAGAAACAGAGAACATAAGTTATGCTTGATATTCACCTCAGTGTACACTCCTGCAAACCCACTTAAGAGTGCCATGACCTGAAAATATGGTGTTCGTTCTTACAATGATACGCATATAAAAAATTTGAAAGTGGACTAAAAGGGAAAGATAAACAGAGGAAAAACTTAATCAGTTGTTGACAACTCACAATAGCCATCACCCAACCTTGGAAGGGAGTTTGAAGAACATGATCTGACCTGCCAAAAAAATTAGAGATAATGAAGCAAATGACAAATTAACATGTGCATGGCAGACTAATCCCTTCCATTCTAACATGGTGCTTCTGCATTTAAATATTGACAGATATGATCTTCCTGATAATAACATATTCGCCTAAGAATGACAAATGCTATGTCTTAGTAACTCCAACTTCAGTCAGGAGCTCCAAACAGATTACCACAACCAACATGCCAAAATTACTAGAAATAGTTGGTATTCAGGAAGATCAATCTGAAAGATACTATTAAAACATATGCTGGTAATGGTTCTTACTTTGAGTTTAGTTGTGCTGTGGTACATCCTGCACATAGCAGAATAAAAGCCGCCCACTGAATTTCACTTAACCTGTAATATGGTATTATCAAACACAAATCGTGTTAGCACTATAGGAAACTCCTAAACTTCTGGCTATATCTTCATCACAGTTTTAGAACTTAATGGTTTCCATTTTATCAAGCTTCATCTGCAGCCCACACTGTATTAGTTCATTTATGTCCCTCTCTCTTCCCGTACATTCTGACATCCTTCCATATTTCTTATAGAAGATATGTGGATCAAATGGCCATGGGCATGATGTAAGAAATAAAACATCCTTTCTATCTCAAACATGGAAAACACAAACACACTTATTTATGAGTGGGAATAATAAAAGAACAGGTTTAAAGAACTTACTTTTTCTTGAGTATAATTCGGTATAATACACCAGTGCTGATAATGTTCAGGTTCTTTAGAATCTGATATCCTGGAGCGTCCACATATGCAAAGATGTAATACTGCCACACAAAAATGAAAAGTATATAGGACCATACCTTTAAAAGAAGGAGACCAAAACAACAGTTAGGGGGAAAAAAGAAAGGTGAAACCAACCTGAAGCAAATTTTTTACAAGGTAAAGCAGTGCAGGAATGGGGTAAACAATAACTTCATCCAAGGTTGTACTCAACCTAGTACAACACGACGCGCTTGTAAGAAGTAGGCTTTACAAATTCTTACTAAGTTCAACTAATCATTACAAAATAACCAGAAAAAGCACAAAACTATAAGGGTAATTTCTAATTTTCAATAACCAACACCAATCAGTCTGCCACCGTGATCTCCCATAATCATGTAAGTCCAATCCTAACTATCATACAATTTGAGAATATGTACTCAACAGTAGGAAAGAATTCAGTATAGCATCTAACAATAGAGGACTTGTCACAAATGAGATCAATATTTTACGCTCATTTTTACATCAATTCCAACAATGTAATGAAGTTTCATCATCCATCACATACTAAAAGACTAAGAAACAACATAATGCAATATCAATGATGATACAAAAAGCTAACCTGTTATCTTCTGTAACACCTTCATTGCTCCAGATTCTTGCCAAGGCAGCAAGCGACAATGCACATTTCAAAGTCTCCACCTACATTCACAAAACAACTAAATTACGCTTGACGAGTCAAAATTTGACGCATACATCAAATTTAAGCTAATTTATCCTCGATCCAGACCGAGAAATTCGCAGTGGTAACACTGTACTCGTATTTTCCAGCTCTCTTCGACCACACGATCAGAATCGCTTGCGAACTCGTAAGAACAGTCAACGCAAGTGTGACGATTGACCTAATCAAAACAACGAATTTCGGTTCATTTGGCGCCACAATTTGGTGTATTATCAAAAATTAACGCAAAAATTAATAAATCAAAAATGGAAGAAATTCTTTTTCGTACTTTCTCTTCCACTTGGACCGATCGATTGGACCGCCTCCCAAGCCGCTGGCTTCATTGTTGACCGCCAAGCGGACATCAGTAAGCTTCTGAAGCTTAAAAAAAATTGAGAATTCATATTCTAATTGAAAAAAAAACGTACCAACAGAGAGCGGTTTTCCGCGCAAGCTCTCGACGTCCTCGCTAACTGAATCTTCATCTTTATCCTGCATTTTGAATTCTACGATTTATGAGCTCAAATTTTTGATGAGTTGAAGAGAAATGAAGAGCAAGTGAACGCAAACCGAGAAACATATGTCGAATTTCCATAATAGAAAACGACGAGATCAGATTGAGAAGGAAATACCTGGTCTTTGATTTTCCGATACTCCATTGTCTGAAAGAGAAAATCTCTCTGATCTGCTCTGTTTTGCAGCTCGAGACTCTCACTCACTGCGTCTTGGCCTTTGCTTTCTCTGTCAGATCTCTAACCATCGATAAACTCTGGTTACAGAACAAACAGCAGGATTCTTTTGCAAAACCCGACCCGTTGAAATCTTGGCTTCAATGGGCCAAACGTGAGCCCCAATCACAAGTCTGGGCTGGACATATGCCCAACATTATTACTATAAACGACAGTACGACACCAAACAAAATGGAGAAAATTAGCAAAGCTATTCTTAAACTGCATGTGAATTTTTATTTCTTCATTAATATCTTTTTACTAATATAATTATTTAACTAGAAAATATATTAATTAAGAATAAAGAATAAAAATTCAGACTCATACACTCTTATTTATTTCCTTTTTCCAACAAAATAAGCCACAATAAACTCATCAAAAGGAAACAACAAGGGGGGGAAAAAAAAATTAAAGGCAACAATCCTCTTAACAAATAACAAAAAGTCGGGACGACGACAACAAAAGTGAGTGACTCTTCTCAAGAAACGGAATAAACGGCAAAGTAACGAAGAGTACAAAATGACATGGAAACTAAAAACGAAGTAATCCTAACAAACGACATAAAGTTTAGAAACGATAATACACGATGAACATCTAGAAACGACATCAAACTCAAACTAGAAGAAACCCAAAGCCGACATCAGAAGTAAAACGACAATAATTTTAAGACAAAATCAATGAGAAAACGACATATAAAACAATATTGATATGGACAATGCAACAGACAACATTGAAATTAGCAACAAGCAGCGGGAAAACGACAACAGAAGAAAACAACGACAACAAGCTCAAACAGCAAACCATAACAACAAAAAACCAGGTACCTTATTTTTACAACTCAAATCACGACTCAATCTTTTTATATTAGAGAAAACACTTTAGCAAAAAAGTTTAATTTAAATTTTTGTATGGGAAAATACTGTAACAAAAGGAGTTTGCTTTGTGATTTGAAGCCGAGATTGATTGCCAGTTGGTAACTCCAAAAAAAAGGACATCAATGGGGAAACGAAAATAACCAAAAGAAAATACAGACACATCATTATAAAAACGACACTAGTCAAATAAACGACCTAAAATTGAGAACAACAATAGTGTCAGAACGACAATGAAAAACAAACAACTATGTTCTGTAAAAATAAATAAAACTGAAACAAAAATTAAATGAATAAATAAAAAACAAAAAATAACATGGATGCGGAAAACGACAATAACCTCAACAAATATCATCAAGCGAAAAGACAACAAAGCACACGCACATGTTAGTAATAAGGACAACAAACCAAGTTAACAACAATAATATCACTAAGTGGCGTCAATTTCATAATGACAGCAAAATTTAGAACAACATTATTAGTAAAGTGAACAACACGTCTCAACAAACAGCAGCAACTGAAACGACAATAAACCTAAAACGACATTGTTAGTAAAAATTATCAAACCAACAAAATAATAATAAGAATCTCAACGAACCATGTTAATTGGAAAAGAAAATCATTATATTTGAGAAAATAAAATACAAGAAAACAGCGACAATAAACGGCAAGAACCTTAAAGAACGTATTTGAAAGCAACAACAAACCAAATAAACGATACCATTAATCCAAGAAACATGGTGACTTGTGAACTGGATGGAGACTTAGGCATCGTTCAGTTTACGGATTCGAGTTTTTAATTCGAATTGAGATATGATTTATATGAAACTGTAACAAAAAAAATTATATGTGACTTTTTATATGAGCTTTTAACTGTAGTAAAACTGAAATTGATAACTCGAATCGCTGAAATAAACGATGTCTTAAAGTCTCAGACAACAAATACTGAACGACATGAACCCAAAAAGCAACTTCGCCAGGAAAAACGACATAAAATTTTATAGACAAACAATAATTTTCTTAGAAATTTAACCATATCAACTTAAAAAAATGAAAAACAACGTAATATTTTCTTAAAATTAATAAAAAAATATAGTTTGATTTTAGAATATCCTTATTAATATTCTGCAATTCTGAACATGAGATCAAGCAAAATTATATCAGCAACTACACAAAATTTACACATCTCCACAATGTAATAGAAATTTGACCATCCATAAAAAATGCATATATATGCTCACATAAATTACGAGGGTGTTAAGTATGAGGATTCATGTTATAGTTTGAATTTCGTAGCTCGTTACAGTATTTTTTCTCACAAAAAACACACGTAAATCGAGAGTAATTTTGAATCCGTAAACCAAACGTGATCGATCTCCCACTCTCACACACGGAGATACAAATATATATACTCGTATATATACATGCATAGCAGTAGTATAGTCAGCTGCCAATCGTCCATGTATAAAGTAACCTCAAAATGAGGAATTCTCCCAACATAACCAACCGCTTCTTCCCACAGATATTGAAGGTTAATCGATACAGTTGTAGCTTTCATCAATTAAGTTTCACGTTTATATTATTTTTTATAAGCCTACATATAACCTGCCTTTATGCACGTACACTACTGTGGATGCACATTAATTGGTATATTTATTATCAAATTCATGGTTATTTTGACAAGCAATGATCAGTGTAAAATAAGAATATGCTTTTCCGAATAACGTGAAGTATATTCGAAAGTTCCAATGGGCTTTTTATCGGAGAACCGAAAGTGTTGGTAGAGCATTTTCTTATCCAAGAAAATTAGATTAATTAAAACAAAATTAATATAATCCAAATGATTAAAACAGATCCCAACTCCAAGCATGCTCCATAAGCAATATATATTAAAATGCTTGACAATAGCCTTTTTCTATTTTTTGAATCGTTTTCGGTGGTTAATGTGCCTTCTCTTAATTTTAGAAAACAAATCATATTTAGCTAGTTTGATGCAAGTTGGCGACAATAACATGTTACTTGTAAATTATATCCAACATTATAATGGGTTCGTATTTTGTTTTAGAGTCCTGTCAAACACGTTTATTTGATGACTTAAATTTATTTTATTTCTAATTAATTACTTTGTTTGAATAATACATCAAACTAACTTCCTTTTCCATTTTTAGTGCAAAAGATAAAAAAATAAAACGCTTTTTTTTTTTTTCATTTGTTTCCTTTCTAAATGAGATTTGTATTCTACATTTACCAAATACAATAAGCTAAAGAATAACCTAAAACAAGCCAAAAGAAAATGAAATACAATTATAGAGTTCACATTAATTATAAGGTATTTATGTTTAATTTTCCCCACTTTTGAGTGGATAGAAAAGAAAAATGTTGAAAGGACTTTCTTTAGTTTTTTGTGGCTGACATGATATCGAATATGCTATTAGCCGACAGAAAATGACGATATATTGGAAATTTGTAAGTGGGAAATTTTAGTACAAGTTATCGCCATATAAGACGCGGTAAGACCGTAGAAGCCAGCCAGAGTGTGGCCATAATTTTGTAAAAACATTTGTCGGTTGCTAAGTCTGGATCTGCTTACATATAGATTCCTTTTCTTACACTCCCTGCAATTTTACTTAATTACCTACTTCATACTAAGATCTCGTTCATTTTATCGATTTGAGTTTTCAGTTTTAGGTTTTTACAGTAACAAATTCTCAAAAAATGTCACATCTAATTTTTTATACTACAGTGAAAAACTCTCAGAAAATGTCATATCTCAAATTGAATTGAAAACTCGAATCCGCAAAGTGAACGAAGCTTTATATTACCACAGTTGCTCATATGAAGCTACAAAAGCTAAAGATTCTCACATAGTTAGCATTCTCAAAATTGTGTAAGGCATACATTATCCTACATTTCTTTACTAATGTTTTTGTAAAATACATTTTGGAAAAAGGTAATGCTTTGTACGTAATGAATATTATGGACCAATATACTTCTTATTACATAAAAAAAAAATATTTTTTTTTTAGGTTTGAGGAAGGTTTGCATACTAAAAGTGGTTAATTAAGAGTTATTATTGTTGTTGTTATGGAATTAGCGTTAATTTCAACACGTAACCACAAACTAAACTTATTTGAAGTTAATAATAACGTAATATTAAGGTTTAAAAATACATTATATTGGAACACCTACAATGTAATGTAAAATAAATTAATGTGACAATGTTGAAATTCAACATTTGTGCAAGAAAATCATTCTCTAATTCAAATGTTATAGTAGTGTTAAACTTAATATATACTATACTTGATGCCAAATTTGACCCCAAAAATATTATGTCACAAATTTTCGCATTTAGCTTCCGTTGGTTGATATGTTGACTTTTAATTTAATATATAATCACAAAGTTATCATTTCAAATTATCTAAAAGTAAATTTGTTTTATTAAGTTCCAAAACTCAATAACTATGACAAAATATAGGTATAACATATGAATTAGTAACATCATATATTCCAGTATAAATTAAAAATAATATATCAAGTATGCCCATCATTTTTACACCTCTTTATATTAAATATAATATTGATATTCGCATTTGAATCGGAAGTGATCTTAGTACATATTTTATTTTCAAAAATTATAATATAGGATTTTACGAAATTATAATAGTAAATTTATTAGGTAAATTATTTACTGCAATTTAGTTCAGATTATTTTTATACTATCTACTTCTTTCCCATATTTATTTTGTTTTTTTTTTTAATTTTAAGGTCATTTTCCTTCTTCTTTTTTTTTTTTTAAAGAAAAGCAAGCCCTCACTCATCTCATTCTCATCTAATCAATGCACAACACTTGCAAAAACGCGACATTATCACGAGATGATGCAAGCAACATCAATACAGAAAACTTAGAGAGATGGAGCCCACCACCAGCAGTGATCCCCCATCAAACTCCCTCATAAAACGAATAAAAACAGCCTGTTTCAGAGCTGTGAACTCCTCGCTTCCATTTCCTCTCCCACCTCCTCTTCTCTCTCTCTCTCTCTCTCTCTTAAACACCCCCACACCAACACAAACACACCAAAGCCAATAAACTTCTCTCTCTCTCTCTCTCTCTCTCTCTCTCTCCTCTTCTTTGACACAATGAGCTCCATTGTCCAGACCTTCCAAAAGCGGGACTTCCTTCCCGTCTCACAGGACGCCTCATCACCAAAGGACCAACAACCAAGCATCCGGCGGAGGCTCTCCTCTCTCAGCCTCAAACTCCAGCCCATCTCGTCCTCCCCGGCGGCCTCATGGGCCTTCCGCCGGTCCAAGTCCGTCTCCGCCATGGGCGAGTCCGCGGGAAGCTCCATAAGGAAGTGGTGGGACTGCGGCTGGGGCTGGATCCTCTCCAGAAAGCCCATGTTCGCCGAAGATCTGGAGATGAACGAGGAAGAGACCAAAGCCCTTGGGTCCCACTCCCGAGGAAGCTGGAGACACGTGTTCTACAAGGTCAGATCCGAGCTCAGAAAGCTCGTCCGGTCCGACCGTGTCGGTCTTCCTCAGACCTGCAGGTACGATTCGTTCAATTATTCCAAGAACTTCGACGACGGAAGGAAAACTCTCTTGGTTAGCTGAAATATTGAAAAAAGTACTCAATAATACGGTTTTATATAAGATTCCGATCATCAAAAAGATTGAATTTTTGTCCCTTTTTTTTCTTTTTAAATGTTATTCTTGTTATTGTAAGTAGAATATAGATTAATGTTCTGTGTTATGTGAGATTATTAATGTTGAGTGTTTCCAAGGAATGGATTTGGGGCTCAAGAAAAAGTGAATGTTTGAAGAGTTAAGCTTGATCAATGGGACAGATCTCTGTTGGTAAATATGATTTTTCTTTTTTTCTTTTTTTTGGTTTGGGAATAATTTATTTAGTTTTGTATCAGATTCATTCCATTGTAAAACTATCACAGCTTATTTATGTCCTAGTCCCTCCACAATGTAATATATCTGTTAGCCGTTTTTATCTTTCAAGATCAGATCTTTATTTTTTATTTTTTATTATTATTATAATACAAGAAAAGGGGAAACGCCACCACTTTTAATATTGTGAATCAACTGGACCCATTTACATATGGTGCAAAATCGCTTCAATTGGTAGACTGAAAATGCATTGCCTTAAATGGCAAGTTTCATTGCGTTTTTTTTTCCCCTTAATTTGATGCCTAGTATGAAACTTGAGGAAGAAAGTAACGTAGCAGCCAAATTTTCAACCATAGACGATTAAAAAAAAGAAAAAAAAAAAAAAAAGTAAAAGACCGTTGTTTAAGGAGTGAGATCGTTTTTTTTTTTTTTTTTTTTTGTTTTTCAATATTTGATGCGTGTAGAGAACTTAAAATTTGAGATGTACCATAATTTTCACTTATACTTGAGCATAAAGATTTTACAGGCCAGATCTCATATGGTTGTCACTTTTCCATTTTTCTGTACGTGATATGGAACCAAAATCTGTCTCATCCTTCTGAGATCTAACTCCGGATTTAACCTTATAAGGTCAACTTCATTTGTGTATTTTTAATATCGGATTATTTCTTGGAATTACACTTGAAGCGTCGGTGCGGTGACATACGGTGTATATATACATTATAAAGTGCTATGCCAATCATTGCCAGCAAGGATATCGTGATGACAATTGACAAAAAGTACATGAATTCAAAATGTAGCTGGTTATAATGCGCCGAATTAGCACCTTGTATGAATGCAACCTTAATTAAAAAACTAATATTGTTTGGGAGAATTAGTAAGTAACATGATCATGATGTCTCTGATTTTCTTTATGTTTGTTCTCCGAGAAAATTGGCAATGGTGGGCATCACCTCGATCGCGTAGAAAGTGTCGGTGCATTTGGGAGATGCTTACCCACTTTTTTCTTTCTCAGGAAAAGGAATAGAAAATCATTAGATGTGTCGTGGAATTTTGACCATCACATGGATCGTATCATTCCCACGATCATCACCGACGCAATAGAAAACAGTTTGAGAGTCAATTCATAGTGGCTGAGCTGGCCTTTTCTCATTTTCTCTTTTTTTTTTTTTTTTTTGGTCCCTTTGTGGTGTGAGGAAGAGGAAATGACAAAGTTTGGTGAGGAACAAGGCAAAAACCAGAGTACTTTAGGAGACAAAATACGGTTGGCAATCAGTTGGGATCGTGAATGTCCTTGTAAACTTCCACTATGTCGGTGATTATTTATTGTCGTACGTTGATATATCAAAACGACACAAGTTTCCACCGTTGTTATGTAAGTAATTATTTTATGCATTTACACAGATATTTTCAGTAATATTGATAATGGATTAGAATTAACCATTGGTCACTGGGAGTAAATACTTGTACAAATTCTACCTGACATTTCATTATACATTTTTTCTAGTGGCATATTTCCACCGTACAAATTAAGAGGCCAGGTCAGAAAATTTTAATGTTGCAAGAGAATAAAATTTCTAAACTTCTTTAAATTGGCCGATTTTCCACAACAACCCAGAAAATCAAAAAGAGCCTTCTTATTTACAGAGTGAAAGTGCAATCGAAACCTGTTTTTTGTTACCAAATTTTGGTAACACGTGCTTAAAATCAACCTTGTCGGAACATTTGTTGTCGTTTTTATAATTTATATCGTCTTCGTTGTTTTTGTCGTTTTGAGAATGTTTTCGCTCCAGTTTAATATTGTTTCCCCGGTTCATGTCGTTTCTTTATTAAAATCGTTTACCATACTCTTATTGGCTTTCAGCTTCATGTCGTTTTTTTACACAGTTAACGTGGTATTCCAAATTGGTATGTATCGTATTTGGTATATACATCTCTCTCTCTCTCTTGCGGGGAATTCGAACTCTTTGCGGAGTTGGATATGAGATTATTATTATTAGTAGTAGGCTAATTCTCCATGTATTTTCTTTTTCTCTATTTAATGTCGTTTTTGAAAACGACATGTCGTTTTATAGAAAAAAATTTGCTTTCAAAATGCAGTTTGTCGTTTGTGGGTTCTGGGCGCCCAAGTCTAAGCCAACCAAGTCCACACTCGATATCTGTAGAAGTTAATCATTAACGCACTCCCAACCTGCAAAAAGAATATTCCATGATATCTTCTATCGGAGAGCTGCTAAAAAGTTGAAAGTTTTGTTTATCCAGAATAAACCAAAAAATGGCCTTAACCTTCAATGGCGTAATCCCACAAACAAGAGGCTTGAGCAATAATTCATGGGGGTTGTTTGGGTCTCCTTCTAAGAAGCCTTCTCAAACTCGATTTCCCACCTGGGTGGTTTCACGCCCAAAGACAAAGCCACGATTTTCCCACGGCACTTCTTCTGTCTCTTCTTCCGCCGCCAAAACTGATTCCACTCTGTCGGATGTTGAGTACCGAGAAGCTCAGGACCACAATAATGGCTTCACTCCCACTTCCACTTCTACCACTGGTAAGTTTCATTTGTTCCCACTTCTATAATCGAAAATGGAAAAAAAAAAAAAAAAAATGCGCATCTTTTTGTTCTGTTTTTTTTTTTCAAGATTATCTTTTGTTCAATCTTGGAGATGATGAATAGAAGAAAGATAGCAGTGGGAATTGGGAAAATGGAATCCAGATTTTCTGTCACATCTTGGTGTGTCAAATGGTGTGTAACCTCAAACATTAAAACTATGTAAAAGTCGGTTAGAAATCATTTTAAAATTTTTAAATGATGCAGCCAAATGTGATTTTTATGAGACCGAAAATTGAACAATAATCTGAATCTGGAATTTGATCATTTATGAACTGCCACTACAAGAAGAACTTAATTTACTGTAGTATGCACATGGAAAAGCTAAAAAAAGAAGGTGGAGATTTTTTGTTTCTTTAAAAAAAAAAAAATCATTATATTTTACTTATTAATAAGATTTTAAAGAAAATGCTATTGAATTTTCTTTAAAGATGAGCTTTGTAGAATCACTATATTATTTCTTTGTAGACATTAGGTGTAATTGAGTTCTGTAGATCTTCATTTATTGTCTTTTTTATTTGTTCAAAGCATGGTCGGAATTTGCCAGAAATGTTTCCGGCGAATGGGATGGCTTTGGAGCAGACTTCTCAAAGGCAGGCAACCCAATTGAACTCCCAGAATATGTTGTGCCCGAGGCTTATCGAGAGTGGGAAGTCAAGGTCTTCGATTGGCAGACTCAGTGCCCTACACTTGCTCAACCAGAAGAGCCTGTTCTTATGTACAAGTTGATAAAGCTACTCCCTACAGTAGGATGTGAAGCAGATGCCGCTACATGGTACAGCATCGATGAGAGGACCGTAGGAGGTCTTGACAACAGAGTCTCTGCCTTTGCATACCAATCAAGTGGATGTTATGTCGCGGTCTGGCCAATGGAGGAAAAGGGTCCTCTTAAGTTGTTGGAGTTGGAGCATTGCTTAATCAATCCTCAAGATAGGGAGTCTCGGATGAGGATAGTTCAGGTGGTTCGGTTAGAGAATGAGAAGATTGTGTTGCAAGGTATTAGAGTTTTTGTTGAGCAGTGGTATGGACCATTCAGGAACGGGGATCAGCTCGGTGGTTGTTCTATCCGTGATTCTGCATTTGCCTCCACGGCTGCCTTGAAAGCCTCTGATGTGTTTGGCGTCTGGGAGGGTTTGAATTCTGTTGCCAGTTTTGATGGCTCTCAGGTTGTGAGTTGTTGAAATGGTCCTTTTCCTTCGGTTTATCTGCGTTTTCAGTTGTGTGTGCATTGTGAACTGAACCAAAAACCTCCTATTAGACTTCAGTTGTCGCAATTTTTCGCTCTTTAGAACAGGTTCCTGTAGTCCTGACGTTTCTTCCGTGCTTATTAGAAAAACAGGCTATTGTAGGTGAATGGTAAAAACTTTGATTCTGCATGGATTTGAAGATTTTCATCAATAACAGCTCTTGAATTTGTTAATAGGATTGAAAAACAATTTGGTTTCTGGTAGAGAGTAACCTCACTACTAGGGAGAAACATGAAACTATTGATAAAAATGAGTGAACTTCTATGTAAAAGTCTCGTCCAATTAGGATTTGTTGTACATATGCCCTATTACTTTACTTTTTCTTGACTAATTTTTATTTTAGGACCTCTTGTCAAGTAGTATGTGACTTTGTCATCTCTTGACTTAATCATCTTTAAGACGAGTCAATGATGTGAACTTGTCTTTATGAACGCAGGACTTTCTTCAACAACTTCAAAATGGAACCATTGTGAAGTCGGTAAGAGATGAACGTGACATCGTATTGCTTCCCAAGCAATTGTGGTGTTCAGTAAAAGAATGTGAAGATGGAGAAACTCGCTGCGAGGCAGGCTGGCTGTTAAGTCACAGCCATGCCATCACATCAAAATGCACCTTCTCAGGCAAAGCCACTTTGAAGGCAAGTTTGTTTAGTACAAGTCTAAGACATACCATTTCTTACCTTTTTGGCTTCTATTAGTGTCCCAAATTTAGAATTTTTGTTCTGAAAACTTTCTTTCTTTTTTTTTTTTTGTTGCAGGAAGTTTCAATAGCTTCTGAAAGTGCAGTCTTGGAGAGTACTGTATAGTATATAGGGGGGGAAGAACGGAACTCCAATAAATATGTGAAATCTGTTAGATTCTTTTTTTCTTTTGTCCTTTCCCCTGGCTATATATTTTGCAAAAGGATGACAATGTGTAATACAGCAACAGCACATGTGCTTGTTGTCCACTATATATACATATGCGTGTACAAAATTCTTTACTGTTATTTTCGTCCAAATTCATAGTATTATCACATAAGAACCGCATATGACTAATCTGCGAGATTCTCTCTGCATATGGCCTGGCGTTTAGTTAACTTGTTTATCTGACATTGCTTGATTCTTGCAATTTCACAGTAAAAATGCTTCTCAACTTGTTAAAAAGAAAAAAAAAAAAAGTTGAGTTTTTCTAGGGAATTCAGGGGCAATTCTGCTCCAGAATCCAGATTTTCTCTTCTTGACCAACCCAGTTGCCTGATTGGATGAACAAACAAAATTCAACGGGTGTTGGAATTGAATCTAAATAAGCGACCTATAAATTTTGAATAAATTTTGAAAAAAATGGAGAATTTATCTTTAAAATTGCATGAGTTTGGACCTTTAGCCTTTATTCTTGATAAATACCCTTTTGTTAGTGTAATTATTTGACTAAAAAAGTTATAAATTAAGAGTAAAAAATAAAAATCTTGACCCGTACATTTTTAATAGGTATTTGTTAAGATTATCTTAAATTGAGGGTCCTGTGATAAGAGTATCCCTTCTGGTGCTGCGTTTTTGAAGGTCAATCGTCAAAATTATATCAGGCAAAGAAAGTATACAAAACTAGCGGAACCAAGCAAAAATATTGCAACTCGGATGTGTCTTTTTGCTTTTTTTTAAGGAAGTTTTTTTAGTAGGATGAGAACAAATGAACTATCAGTAGTTTTTTACTTTTCATCCGTTAAATTTATATAAGAAATTATATGATCTCCACTTTTTTTAATGTAATTTGATTTTTATGAGATTCAGAAACTACACTACTAATAGGACTCCCAAAAAATTCCTTTTTTAAAGAATTTTACAAGTTGTTTATAACATCCAAAAATGTGGCCGAAGATGTCAGAGTCGGACTTATTCAAGTGGATGGAGACAAATACACGTGAATCTTTACCAAAAGGCCGAGAAAGATATTAATAGCATTGATCCTAATCAATTACTTTGATTGGTAACAGAGAAAGGTTGATTCCAAATTCCAGTCACCGAAGTTGCCTAATTGAAGAAAGTTCAGGATTTTAGCACACCAATTAATTAACCTCTTCCCCTCCTTTTTACTTCTTTTCGTTTGGCTGGATTTTAGTTACATTTTGTATTATGCATTATTTGTCACCCAATACTAAGAGGTTTGAATTGCAATTTAACGATCATTAATGTCTCCAGTCACTCAAGAGCAAAGGCGTTTAATTTAGGAAGAAATTCAGAAATGCCACTCAATGATAGCATCTTTACATTACCAAGTTTTTAGATTTCGATGGCATACCACGCGATTTCCTCTTTAATTTAAGCGAGTTGGCTGCTCAAATAACCCAGCAAGATTTAAAAACTGCTGAAAAAGCATGTGCAAAACATTAGCAGAGCCAATCTTTCTTTACATACATGAAACAAAAGCAGGGCCTTATATAAAGTGGCAATATCCGCAGGTCAATTTTTTTCCCCCCTTCAACATATATATAGACGGAACGGCTCAAAACGAAACACTGCAAAATGATTTAGCTGGTTGAATAGCTGCGACACTTCCACACTTCAGAGTTCAAAGAAAAAAAAAAATTACAACATATTTCTTTGGCCATACAGCAATATAAAAAAGACATCACTGAGTTAAATTCTATAGAACTCCACAACCCAAAATCTTCAGTGACATGATCCAAGGTCTTGGGAGCTGATGAATTAAGGTTGATTCTCAAAATCCTACCACCAAATCTCCTCTAGCTTTGCTGTGCAACCTGCAGATGTTCCAGATGCTGAGTACAGCATGGACGTCAAACTCGGTTTTGAATACAGAGAGCAGTTTTTGTAATGATATTTCTAGTTCTCAATGCTAGCATTTTTAGCAAGACATTAAATGTAAGAAAGTTCTGTGAGGTTCATAGCCCAAAAAAAAAAAAAAAAAAAAAAAAACCCTTATAATACAGATATTACAAAATTTACCGCAATCTCTGACTTAGAGAGTCGTTTCTTTAACTTTCTATGTTTATAATCAGAAGCACTGAGATGCTAAAGAACAACAAATCAGAGTTTGAAGAATACCTGTACATAACGTGCGATTGGATGCTAATGAGCACCTGGTGCATCTCTCATGCTCATATTCAGACTGTTCCGCATGGTTCGTCTTCCAATTCCGGCATTTCCTTTCTGCATCATGGCAACAAATTCACCGTAATCGATCCTTCCATCCTGCGGGGAGAAGCAATGGAACTTAAGCAACCAATAGTGAATAAGCCTAACTCAAGTAAAAAACAAAATAGTATGTTGAACCGCACTAAGATACAACACAAATTCTAGCTCAAGATCCATCATGCGACTTACATTGTCTTGATCAACTTCTCTGATGATATCTTCAAGTAAAACGTCAGTCATGTTATGTTCTGCACAAGCTTGCTGAAGCTCATCCACTGTAATGTAACCGCTGCCATCCTTATCGAAATATTGGAATGCTGCAACTAGATGTTCCTCGCGTTCTAGTTTATTAAGATGAACTGTGGCGGCAATAAATTCACCATAGTCAATAGTCCCACTGTTGTCCACATCAGCCTGTAAAGAACATAATAGCTCAGGTTCAGATAGTTGGGATGTTACTAATAGAAGAAAAAACATTCACCGCATAGGCCAACATCAACCTGTTTGAAAACTTTCAGCTAATTGAACAAGAACATACATAGATGACGAGGAAATTTTCCAGTTTTTACGAGTGAAAATGTATGATACAAATGTGTTCATATTACTTTTTTGGCCTTTTCCTGTACTTTAAAGTAAATTACTAAACATTTGTATTCAAAAGAAGCAACTTACTGCTTCCATAAGATCACGTATCTCCGTATCCTTCAAGGTGGAGCCATATCTCCGCAGTCCAGCTTTCAGTTCATCAAATGTGATTGCACCACTGTTATCGGTATCCATTGTTGTAAACATCTCTCTCAGACCAGCAATCTCTTCCTCAGAAAGGCTTTCAGCAATTACCTGTTAACACGTAAAAGGGAAAATAGCATGACGCAAACATTTTTGCATCCCTCTCTCTCTCTCCCTCACTTTAGAAATTAGACTTACCCGTAGAGCCATTTTCTTTAACTTGTTCATTGCAGAGAATTGTTTGAGACGAGACAGCACAGCTGGATCAAGTGATCTATCAGGAGCAACTCCATTTTCACAAATCCAAGGGTGGCCTACATAAAGCCAAGAAAGATGTTTACACTAAAAGCTTGATTTTGGTGAGAAAATAACCTAGTCTGCATGCATTTACAGCAACATGGCCTGTAAACCACAATGTGGAAAGTAACCTAAAAAAAAGAAAACAGCTTCTCTAGTCCACGTTTTATGACATGAAAAACAACTAAAGGTTCATACATAACACTTCATGAGCAGTCAAGCGGTCCAAAGGTCTAGAGCACAGCATCTTCCTGATCAAGTCTTTTGCACTGTCCGATATCACTGGCCATGGGTCCGATTCAAAATCAATGTGTCCCTTCAAGACTGCATCAAATATGCCCTGTTGTGTTTCTGAATTCAAAACAAAAAAAGAAGCATTTCAGTAATAGCATAACATGGACAAGTCGCTTACATCCATGAGTGAAACCAGATTATCATACCTGCCCAAAATGGAGGCACTCCACTTAACAATATATAGAGTATGACCCCAGCAGTCCACACATCTGCTTCTGGCCCATAGTGCTTGAGGAGTACCTCGGGAGCAACATAATAAGGGCTTCCAACCACGTCAGTGAAAACCTGACCTGAAAGCCAGCAAAGAAAAACGAAGTTACGAGCTTGTTTGGTAGGATAGAAAAGTGGAAGAATGGATAGGAGTAGGAGGATTAATGGAAGGATTTTAGGACCTAAGGTTGTTTGGTAGGAAGGAATGGATTAGGTGAGAAATTCAAATTCTTCAAAGAACCCCAATTTTAATCTCTCCCAACACGAAAGATTGGAGGAGAGAATCCATTTTCTCCTCATTTTCCTCACCTAGGTCATATACATTTCTTCCCTTCCTGTTTTCTCTCTCTTACCTAACACAGCCTAACAAAAGAGGCCTTGAAAGGAACTGAAACTGCAAATTCCATATCATAAATATATATATATATATAGGGGCACAATATACACAAAGAAAACACAACGCCTAATACTCAATACACTAAAGGAAAAAAGGCAAGAGAATTGGTTCCCTTACCTGGTTTAAAGAAGACAGAGAGACCAAAATCAATGGCCTTGAGGGAAAAATCATCATCCTTGTTAACCAACAAGAAATTCTCAGGCTTCAAATCTCTATGCATAACCCCAAGAGAATGGCAAGCCTCAACAACCCCAACAATAATCTTGGTCAACTCAGCCGCCTTCCTCTCACTGTAGTGTCCCCTCTGGATAATCCTGTCAAACAGCTCACCCCCGGCACAAAGCTCCATAACAATATGGACATAAAGCGAATCCTCATAAGCACCTTTAATGGTGACAATGTTCTTGTGACCAGCCAAATGGTGCATTATCTGAATCTCCCTCCTCACATCCTCCACATCCTCTTTGGAGATCAACTTCCTCTTGGAGATTGACTTGCAAGCATACTCGACCCCGGTCGCGTTCTCGACGCACGAATAGGTTGTCCCGAACTGCCCTTGTCCTAGTTTCCTCCCCAACGCGTAGAGGTCACGAATGTTGGCCGTTTTGTGGCCCAAAACGTAGTATGTCTGGTTTTCTATTCCCCTCCTCATGACGGTGTCTTTCTTGAGGTTGTTATGGCCGTTATTCTGGTTGGTTTTGGAGTTGGTGTTGGTGTCGGTGGTGTCTTTGGGGAGGTCTTGGTGATGGGGTTGGTGGGTTTGGGAGTTTGAACTTGTCGTTGAGTGGTCGGAGACGGAACGGTCAGAAGAAGTGTGTCGTTTGGACAGGTTCTCGGGCTGGCTCTCGCCCTGAAAGTATTTCCCCCTGAAAGATCCACGGCATGTGTTGCCCATGAAACAATCACAATTCCACAATTCACAGCTTTTTCCTCATCCAATACTTTCTCATCAATAACAAAACTTCACTGCCAAAAAAAAAAAAAACGAAATAGATCAGTATTAATCTGTGTCCTAATCTCAAAGTGTGAGAATCTTGGTCAAACTGGAAATTCCAAATTCCAATCATAATATAAAACCAAAAATACGTAGATCAGTTTTGTTCTCTGGCAAAAAATAACGAATCTGGTATATTTTTCTGGATAAGATAAACAAATACACAAATCTATTCAACGAAGCCGAACTAAAATACATTTCACTTTTTCTCGGGAAACAAACAGGGCGTCTAATTAGAAAAAAGTCAACCCAGAATCGTAAAAGAACCGAGAGAAAGAAACCAAAAAAAGGAATAAAAAAGACGAAATCTTGAAAGAAGAAAACGCAAAAAAGAAGAGAAATGCTAAGTACCGGATGCGGAAATGGCAGAAAGAGATGGTGATGAACAGATGGAGAAGAAGAAGAAATGATTTTGATCTGAGAGAAAGAGAAGAATCAAATCGCCAAATCAAAAAGAAATGGAATTTCTTTACAGCTACTTCTTTGAAAAAAATTTCTTTCTTTTATTAGAAGAGGGAAGGGAGGGTCGTTTGTTTATCTGTCGTTATTTTGGGATGGTCTTGCTGAGAAACATCGGAGGTTAGTGCTGCCCAGCTAAACCTTTCTCTCTCTCTCTCTATTCTTTCTATTTTTTTTTTCTTAAAACAAAAAAAAAAAAAAAAAAATTTAATAGAACGCGGCTTTACAACTTTTCCTCATAATCCAAAACTTTTTTTTTTCTTTTTCTTTCTCTTGCTTTTTATTATTTCAATAATTTTAGAAATATGGCAGTGGGACAAGGTAAACGAAGGGGGTTAATAGGGAGGTGGAAAAGATGAAAATCAAACCAAAAGAGGAAAAAAAAAAAAAAAACTAAGGTGATGTTTGATAGAGGGATTCATTCTCTGATTCAAATCATGATTCGTAATTTATTACAGTCTTTTTTCTTATAAAAAATACACATAAATTAAAAATAATTTTAATTAATGAATCAAACGGACTCTAATTTTAACTTTATGCGGTGGATCAATCTAGGGTGAGGAAAACATATAATACGGTTTGATTGGAGCGTGGAGGCCACTCGCGGTGAAAAGCAGCTGGGTGGGGTGTAAGAATTATCCATGGGTTGTTTGTTTGGTCAAAAATTGTTCATTTTCTTTCCATAATTTTCAGGAAATGGAGGTAAATAATTTCAAGAATTATTACATAGCTAAATTTAGGGAAAAAAAAGGTTATATGTGGGAGAGGTAGTGGTTTGGACTTGAACATTGTTTGTCTGCCTTCCAAAATCCAAACTGCTTCTCTGTCTTTGTGGGATAGTCACGGTTAGGGATATTCTCCCCCAAATTATACTCTTGACCATTTATTTATTTATTTATTTATTTTTGCTGATCATACTCTTGACCATTTATTTATTTATTTAAAAATAACTATTAATTTATTTTTTACAAATTTTTTAAGAGAAATTTGTTACAAATTAACAATAGCAAGTGGGGAACGGGGATATTTTTATACCATTTATTATTTAAGAGAAAAAATAGAAAATTTATTTTTAAAAATTTATAAATCTAAAATTTTATTATTTATTTTTAATAAATATCATTTTATTAACGTAATTATCTAACTAAAAATTTATAAATAAATAATAAATAATAAATATTTTGACTCATATATTTTAAAAAAATATTTATTAATCTTTATTACGCAACACAATTTCAGAAAGAGGGACAGAGGTCTCACGTCTCTCTGTCATCCTTTGGTTTTAGGCCTGAGTGCCTTCATTGAGGACGTGCACGTTCAATTTTTATTTTATTTTTATAAAATGACATAATCTTTTTCTGAAAAATAAAATGAGGTCACTAGCCACAGTAAAATTGACAGCCTCCTTTTCCGAATTCAGAATAAATAAACATTAACATTTTTTTGACTAAACAAAGATTGAGCATTATAAATATAGCTTTAGCGGCAATGATGACCTGTCGTTGCCAATTGCCACAGCTAAGGTGACAAACAAATTGCAAAATACAAAATACTAGGCGGATTTACAAGGAAAAGAAAATAGTCATCGTATCTCTTACAAAAATAAGATATAATAAAAAGATCTCTTAGAGTCCATTTGATTCATAGATTAAAATTATAAGATTAAAATTATTTTTAATTTACGTGTATTTTTTATGAAAAAAAATATTATAATAAATCATAAATTATTATTCGAATCAGAGAACGAATCTTCCAACTAAATGGACTCTTATTCATTTAAAGTGAGCCACATGCACTTTTATGAGTAATAGAGATTTATCAATATTATTTTTCATAGTTTAATCTGTCCCATCCAACTAAAGGAAAATAAGTTTTTTAAGAGAAAGTGTTCGAATTTTTTATTTATGTTAACCTTTTTTTTTTTTGCTTTCGGTTAGCTTTTTTTTTTTTTTGGATTTCTTTTTCTCTTTTACTTTTTTTTCCCACTTATTTCTTCATCTCTATAATGTATTCTTCTTTTTTTCTTTCTCAAATGTGATCCTCATAAATATTTTTTTCTTTGACTTTTTTTTTTTTTTTTTGGATTTCTTTTTCTCTTTTACTTTTTTTTCCCACTTATTTCTTCATCTCTATAATGTATTCTTCTTTTTTTTCTTTCTCAAATGTGACTCTCATAAATATTTTTTTCTCTAATTGTCTTATTAAAATAATTTCTTTTAATATATGTCTTAATCAATATATTTTTTTACGAAATAACTCTCTTAAATACTTTTTCTTCTACTCATACCCAATAAAAATAATCTTTAATATGTTGTTCTCAATGTGTCTTTGCAGTAACATTTTATCCACAATTTTTTCATATAAATTCCTTTCATATGTGTCACTACATTTTTTTTTCCCCTAATTTAGCGTTGTTGTATTTAATATTTTTTTAATGATTTAATTTTTAAGAAAACAATGATGAAAAACATAAGCTAATAAAAACTTTTAAAATAATTCAGGCCTTTACGTCAAAATAAAGAAAAATGTTGAATAAGCACTTTAGTAGAGTTAAAAATGCAAATCACTCGAAGCTTCTCATTGTCACAAATATGAAATTGATTTTGAAAAAAAAAAAAAATGGAAAGAAAGAAAAGAAACGGTCAAACCAATTAGCAAACGAGTTTTTTTCGCTAATCAAGTAGACTTTGTAGAATAGAGATGAAGAGAGAGGCCAAAATCGCATACGTCAATGAGAGTCGGGAAGGTTAACCACGTCAACACAACTGCGACTCTTTGACCAGCCAGCGAAGCAAAGGGTAATAACGTCATTCTGTGGACATAAAGTAGTTCTTATTCACACGGTTGAAAAGGACGCAGACAGACTTGTCTGTCTCAAGTGTCTGCTTGACTTTGAGATGCGTTGCATGGCTTACAGTATTTTTTTAAGGGCAATATCAAAAGATCTTTGCCTTTAGAAAGCAGAAAGAATGTGTTGATTTGTATAATTTAAGTCACATTATTGTTACAGTATTTTTTATTATATAATTTTAATTTTAATTTTTTTATTATAATATTTTTTTTCGCATACATAATTTAAACTTAAATTATATAAATAAACACACTTAAAAATATTAAGATTATTTTACAAAAGTTCATCTAATGAGACTAATAAAAATAAACTATTCATAATTTTGTATTTTTTAAATATTAAATTTATATTAAAATTTATAGATTCCATATATTTTTTAAATTTAATGTGTGTTTTATCAAAGTCAACCGTTAAAAAAATTAATCCTATCAGTATATTAACTTATTAGAAAAGCTCTCATTATATGAAATTTACACGATAAGTTGTGAAAAAAATGTTTTAACAACTGGCTATAAATTATAAATTTGTACCAAATTTTGATTTTATATATTTTTTTATTGTATTATAATTTTAATCAAATATAACGTTGGAAAAGGGAAAAGTATCGTGAAATTGAATCGCGGCGCTTGCAAGTGCCAGATCCCACAAATTCTTGGGAAGAAAAAGCCTTTGTTGGGGTAGGGTACCACATAACACAAACTGAAAACCCAATTTTATTTTGTCTTTTTTTCTTTTCTATATATATACACACATATAGGTGGGTAGCTATTAAAAACTCGTCATATATATATATATATATATATATATATATATATATACACACACACACACGTACATACGGTCATCGACTCGTCGTTTCATCTAAGAGGTAGGTGAGCTTCAGAGTTCAGTCCAAGCATCACCATTGGCATGGCTGGTCATCAAAAGCTCATCTCCATCTTTTGCTAGTCTCGAACTCAAAACACTTAACGAGAGTAGCCATAAAAAAATAATTTTTTTTTTTGGTAAGAACTAAGAAAAATGTAGACGGGGAAGGATACAATTTTGTTGCGACATGTTAACAAAACTCTATTATGACTGATACTCTATATACAGTATTGAAAGAAGGATTCATAACTCACTAACATGCGACCATTAACTATAAACAATTGAAAGCATGCTCATCGTGGACGTTTCATGCTCTTAGGAACTAAAAACTAACCAACGTTTACTTTCATAGGCAGCAAGACCCGTATTAACATGGAGGAATCACAAAATCCAAACTGGTAACTTGTGCTTATGCATCAAGACAGCTTTAAAGCTTTAACATCACCATTTCTTTTCTGCAAATTCATTGTCTGTTATTTGCATTTCCCATGTTCTCTGTTGAGTTGATGCATTGCCAACTTATGCAGCCACTTGTTAAGCCCTCCACTTGTAGGCCTAAAACGAATTCAACGATGCTAAGGGCACCAACATTATCCGATACCACTCACTAATAAAAGGTACGTCTCGCAGTATGAGACTGGGTCTCATAGATGAGTGTCACCTTCTATTATTAGTGTATTGGAGACCACGAGTGCTCCCCAAGCACTTATTCTATTTTCAAGAAGGTCGTGTTAGAAGAGGTTGGAAACAAAGAGAAACTATTTTCCTACCAACTAAAGTACTAAGAGTCATTGGTATTTCGATTACCAATCCTCTTCTAGCATGATTTCAACGGTTGAGATGTTATGCTAGGCACTAGGCAAAGTATCCTACCAATCAAGTTTTCGCAGAAGAAGATGATTTCTACAATGGAAGATTGAAGCGACCAAAGAGAAGAGAATGTACAAGATTAGCAGTCTTTGGATTATTACAGTGACGAAGTTCACAAGAGAAATGAAACTACGAAGAGGAAAATTTGAGATCCCCGTTAATCCTCTGGGGAAAATCTCAAACATAGTCACGGGAATTCGAGTATATCAGTACAACATTACAAACAAAAAGGAATACTTAAGATTGTCCCAACTAATAAGCAACTTTTGCCCTGCAGTTTGCTGCATCCCACAAAAACAACACGAGCAGCGTCCAACAAACTAAAACAAAACTTGATCGAAATCATCACAAGAAAATATTTCAGCTACATGCCTTTAAAAGAATACAATGACAACAGGCTAAAAGAAACACATCATAGTTCTAAACAGTCAAATTTTAATCATCTTTCGTTAAATTGTTGTACTTCTCTTAATCTAATATGATTTTGACATGACCTTCAAAACCGTTTTCTCACTAAGTTCCGCTTTAATTGCTATATTTTTCTTATTTTAATATGATTATGACACGATAACCTTATTCTAACCCTACAAGCTGCAACAGAATTCTTCTAAAAAATATCACCATTTCTTCCTTCCTAACCACCATTCTCAACTGAACCCAGTACATTCCTTGCCCGCTTATGTATATGCAATGCAAACAAAGAAAATGAAAGAGAAACCCGAGGAAATTTTTTTTTTTTTTTTGTTATTATATCGTTTTTGTAATTCTCCTCTTGAAAATCCCTCCAGTTAGCAAAAGGAGTTAAAAAGGCAGCACACGATTAAGCAGAGACAAGTAGACAACATTTTTCAGAGTGAGCACGGCATTACACGTTCAATTAGTGAAAATACTCTAGTAAACCACAAATCCCATAATCCAAAATGAAAAGAAAAAATACAATTTAAAGAAAAAAAGAGAATTCCAATGATGGCTTCTCAACCGATTTAGGATTTGGGGTTCGTTGTTCTGGCAAATGGAAAGGGGGGCAATCGCAGCACAGCTTCCTCTGTCTCAATGGGATCCGATCTCAATATCTACCCAAATAAATTGACAAAAAAAATTAAAAAACAAAAAACCCTGAGACAGAAAAACGTAAATACGCAAATCAAAGTTATCATCTTAAAGAGAGAGAGATTGTGTGTACTGGGTCTTGGAGGATAGGCTTAGTATCGTCCTTGGCTGGCCTGAAACTGGGTTTTGTTGGCTTTTCTCTGTTTTGAGGATAATTGTTGCTGGGTTTCACTGAAGACTCCGAGGCTTTCATTGCTTCCCTTTTCTGCTTCCTCTGAAATCTCTCTGTTTCTGTAGAGTTTCACAGTTCACACTATTATTTTCTGATAATCAATCCGTATCTCTGTTTCCTAAATTTTATTACCATTAAAAAAAAAAAAAGAGAGAGAGAGAGAGACTAGAAAAAACCCCACGGAAGCCTGAAAAACGGCGCGATGAAAGGCAAACGACATCGAAAGGAATAAAACGGCAGTGAAAGAGCAAGGACAAAATGATAAAACAACGACTACTGAAACAAAACGCCATCAAAAGGAATTAAACGACAACAAGAAAATGAAACCACAAAACGACAATATAACTGAAGTTTTTTTTGTAAGGAAGAAAAGCCTATTTTCCCTCATCGGTACCATATACCATATAAAGTTTTTTTTTTTTTTTTTTTTTTTTTTATAATTACATACCATATAAAGTTTTAAACCACCTTTATTAGCTTTTTTCTTCTCAAATTATATGATCGTCACATAGTAGGACACGACCCGGTCAGTGGGACGTGAAGGACTCGTCACTTGTAAGACTTAGTAAAATTCCATTCATCCGTTCATCTTCTGTCATGAAATTGTCCATTAATCAATATATAGAGATAAATCGCAATTAGACTACCTAGAATCAAGCTCAACAATGACGGTAATGATCCATCTACAGCTAATATACAGCAAAGATTGACAATCAATCAATCTAAAAATGGAAAGAATTAGGATAGGATGGGTGCGTTTAGAACTCGTTCAAAAATAATTTTATTATTTGTATGAAAATGGAAAAAAAAAATGTTTTTAATCTCAGGCAGAAATCATTTTTAAAAATGTGTTTAATAGTTTTATCAAGAAATTCTTTTCAGTATAAAAAAATCCCTTAATGTGTTTCTCTCTCTGCTCCAGAGAGGAGCAAACAGAAATAAAAAATGAAAAACGATTAAAAGTCGTTTTTCATTTCTCTCATATTTTACACTAAATCAAAAAATCATTTTTATTTCTGTTTTTTATCTTTAATTGTGTCAAACGCCGTTTCTTTCTCATTTTTATTTTTTTTCTCAAAAAAGTAAAAAAAACAAAAACAACTCCAAACACAACCGATAATTACAAAGATTGATAATTAATTAAAAAAAAATCTCACTAAGTCGTATTCGTACCACGTATCGAAAAGCTCATTACCATCATTTAGAAGTACCAAATTCATAAACTTACGAGTGAATATCCACTACAAGTTCAAATTCGAGTATGAGCTATGAAAATAGAAGTGTAAAGATTTTTGTTATAACATGTAAAACACAACCCTGCTATTATGCTTGATATTAATAAGTCTAACGAGGTAGCTAGCTGCATATTCACCACTTGTGATGAGAGACTGTAATCTCTTTAAGAATCAGATATGTTCCTCCAATTAACAAATAGTTCTTGATCATTTTCAATTGGAAATCCTCTGAATGGTCGAAAATTTATGCTAGGCCAAGCATCTGTTCATATTTGTTAATTATTGTGATTGGGATTGCATCTGTTCATATTTGTTAATTATTGTTATTGATTTCTAATTATTTGATGATTTGTATATTAATTGTCATTTGGTGTCATTAACTTGATTGTATTTCCGCTACTTTAGGCAGCTTTCTAAGGAATAGTGAAGTTTAACTTGCTTATATTAATAAATAACTACTTAGGAGGAAATTACAGATTGAAGGTGATAAATGGTTGCGTGGAAACCTACTCATTTGTTACCCAACATCAGCCTTACAAATCCCTTGAGCATTACAAATTAATCGGCCCTTCATTGCTGAAAAGAGATATCATTTATTGACAGTTGGTAACTTTGAGGACTTATTTTGGACGTGGCTTGATTTTAGGGTTTCCATTAGCGGGCTTGACCAATTCAAACTGTATGGATATCGTATCCCGTTTTTGAGATATCAGATGCCACTATCATGGCATGTATACTTACGTAGTTACGTGTAATCAGATGAGCATGAATGACAGATTCAAAGTGGGTAACATTCGCAGTGAAAAATTAAAGTCAGAATAAATTATTTACTTAGTGATAAGATTTATAATCAAATTCACTTTAAATCTTATTAATGCGCTTATTTACTCTTGAGAATGAAACAGTGTAAAAATATTAATATATCTTTTAATTTAATTTAAAAAAAAATTGTGTACTTATTATATTAAAATTAATTATAATTAAAATATTTAGTGTAATAATAGGGTATTAAAATAATAAATATAAATTGTACAACTATTTAAAATATAAAAATAAATTGTTAAAAAATTTAAATAAAAATAAAAAAATAGAGTTAAAAATTAAAATATATTATTAATTTATTAAAAAAATAAAATACATATTTATTATATTAAAGTTAACAATAATTATGTTAATATTATAATATTAGGCAAATAAAATAATAAATATATGTTGTAATTATTATTTTTAAAATTTTATTTTTAATTGTACATTTATAAGTAAAATAGATATATAATAGTAATTTAATGTTAATACTTAATATTAGGAATGAGAGTCTCAATCATAAAGGGGACATGGAAGTATCAATTACATTCTTTAATCTTAAATTTGAGTGGAGCCCACCAATCATACTCTCATTTTAAAATAAAAAAAGAATAAGTAAATATGAGATTGACTATCGGGTCTATAAAAGGGACACATATCCCACATATTAGATATCTAGAATATCTATCCAGAAAAATATTACAGATATTTTAGGGCTTGTTCTTTTGAGTGAAAAACTCAAAAAAATGCAACTCAAGTTACAACTTTATTCGAGTTCATGTTCTTTTAAGTTTAAACTCGAGTTTAAACTCGAGTTCAAACTCGAGTTTAGGACTAAAACTCGAGTTCAAGTTTCCCCTTTAACTCGAGTTCAGAAACTCGAACTCAAATTAATGAACAGTATTTTTTCTATTCTTAAAAATGCTGTAACTTTTTCGTTTTAATTCTGATTGAGAAGATTTTTTTTTCTATGCGTTGACAACGAAAAGACGAATAAAACCCGGCCCATATACCCTATTAAAATTTTTCATCAGGATTGAGTTTTTATTAAAATATTATCTAAATATAAATTCAAGTTTTGACTCACTCAAACACAAATTCAAAAAGATTCTTATCTCAAACCATAACTCAAATGTATACAACTAAACACAAACTCAAGTTACAAGTTCAACTCAAGTTATAACTCAAATTCAACTTAAGAATTATACTCAAGTTAAACTCCAAAAGAACAAACTCTAAAATTTTCTGTTATGAAACCTCACGATAGTTCTCATAATTCTCACACACCGTGAGCACAAGAGTTTAACAAGCAAAACATCATGAGGTTCTTGAAAGACGATCGATGAACTCCCGAGCCCACAGATTAGAGATCCGACGCGGCGGCCCCCCTACGCTTCTTTCCATACTCATATACAAACGCTATGTAAATTATAAAACGCATTTGGAACTTGTTTCAAAATAATTTTATTTTTTATATGAAAATAAAAATAAAAACGTTTTCAATCTCAGACAAAAATTATTTTTAAAAATGCGCTTGATAATTTTATCAAGAGATTATTTTCAATGTAAAAAAATCTATTAATGTCTCTCTGCTCCAGAGAGGAGAAAATAAAAATAAAAAATAAAAAATGATTAAAAGTTATTTTTCATTTCTCTCTTATTTTATACTAAATCAAAAAATCGTTTTCATTTCTGTTTTTTATCTTTATTACACCAAACACCGTTATGAAAACGTTTTTATTTTTTCTTTCTCAAAAAACGTAAAAAATAAAAATAGGATCAATTCCAAACATAACCATAAAATTCCTTTGTTTTCCTTTGTTTTTCTTTCCTGGTTTATTTCTTATTTTCAAGTTGTTATGTGAGACTCCCCTAAAATCAAATCCCTGAAGCCTGAATGAAAAAAAAAAAAAAAAAAAAAAACCGAAATTGATATCTCAAAACTTGATGAACGCATTTCCTTTTTGACAATCAATATTAGTTGCTTCTCTCTCCTCTCTTTCGTTTATTACGTGAAGGCTCTCAGCTGTAATTTAACCAGCCCCAGTACAGCGGGTACTTCTCGAGCGTTAAGAAATGGGCGACGGAGGAAATTCTGTCAATGGCTGCATCCAAAGTCATTGTCCGATTGTAAGTATGTGAACAAGTCTTGTGCAAGACCAAGACTTGCTTACGCACTTCAATTGGAACAATGTCTTTGATGGAATTGTTAACAAACAACTCAAACCATATGAATAAGAAGAATCATCCCCTATACGAAATTTGATGTCATTAGCTTGATTGAAACTGCATATAAAAAGAGAAACACAATCCATTTGGGCATTTACATCTCAATCATTTGCATACTCACCTTGGACTCATTATTTTGACAGAAAATAAAACTAAATTAACATGTACCTTTACAGGTTATAAAACTAATAGGTGATATGGAAGATGAGGGGGAAAAAATAAAAATAAAAAATAAAAAAAAAAGTATCAAAGACCCATGAACATAATAACGAGGGCCTCAAATAGTAACTTTTGCTTATGCGTCAAGATAGCTTTATAAGCTTTAACATCACTATTGCTTTTCACCAAAACTCACTGATTGCTGTTTCCCTTCCCCGTGATAATTAAGTTGATGCATTAGTTTCTTCAAGGCGTTTGTTGATCCCTCCACTTGTAGGCCTAAAATATGTCTCAAGCAAGTTGTGTTAGAAGAAGTAGGAAACAAAGAAAATGCAATGTCTCTAAGAATGAGATATTTTCCTCCCAATTAACAAACAGTCCTTAGTCTCTTTTTAATTGTAAATCCTCTGTTAGCATGATTTGAACGGTCGAGAGTATGCTAGGCAGAGCTTTTACCCCATTTATATTCTAAGGACGAAGGTTTTTTTATTATTTTATTTATATTTTTTGTTGCATAGAAGAAGATCATTTGAGCTATGGAAGATTAAAGCGACCATGTGGTACTAAAAGGGTATCTCTACATCAATTTGGCTAAGTAGCAATTATGTCCTACTATCAATTCCATAATTTTTTTTTTTTTTAAAAAAAGACCGCGGGCTAAGTAGCAATTATGTCCTACTATCAATTCCATAATTTTTTTTTTTTAAAAAAAAAGACCGCAACACAAAAACCATATATTTCTTAGAGGATTGAAACTTGGAAATATCGGGTGGACACCTTGAATGAAAACTGAAACTAATCCAACAAAGAACAATGTTCTTAAAAAAAAAAAAAAGAAGACATGGTACTTCATTTTAAGCTATTTATGTGAAGATGAAAAGCATCATATTCATATGCCAAGACAATAAGGCACTAGATTCCAATAGAACAATAGAACCATAAGGGTTTCTTAACAAGTCATCATTGGAGGATTTATTCATCAAATTTATTTAAGATGAATTTACTTTGGCATTAAGAGATATTAACAAATAAACCAAGTCAAAAGCACTTACAGCCCACTTAACACTTTAATGGTGTCATAGAAGAACCACTGCATAGTAACGACAGGGCCAACAAGCGTTATCCGAACAGGAAGGCTTCTCGTAAACAAATTAGCAACCCCAATATTTTTCACGGCCTATAAGATTTCAAAACAAATGTGATTAATGCACTTTTAAACGCATATTAGTAATAAACCAAAGAATAGCTAAGTTGACATGAGAACCTGCAAAACAGTATCGGCCTTTTTGTTGTAAAGGGAAGAAACAATATTGTCAGCGGGGTTAGAGACAACGGTACCAACAGCTCCAGCTGCATAGCCAGCTAAACATGTCACACCGAGCTGTTGGGCTCTTGAGCAATCTTCTTTTCTCCTTTGAATTACATTTCTATATATCAAGTCCACTGAGTGCTCAAATGTTGTGAACATTATCATTGAGACTGTCAAAAGAGAATATTTGCAAATGAAAGAAGTGAAAATATTTGCAAATGAAAGAAGTGAACAGTATGGTCTCTGAAACGGCAACATAATACTGTTAATGCTCAAGGAAAATAGCCATATTGTCACACTAAACTTTATCAAGACAGAAAAACCACCATCAAGTCACGTAACATATTTCTAAAATCAATATTCCAATGTGTCAAAGCTTCCAAAAGGATTTCAATTTCAGATAAGAAACTAAAACTTTTGACAATATTCAAAGGAAATAGAGATATTACATGGAAGATTTCGACCCCAAAGTGGAAGAAGTCCTCTATAAAAGCTGGAGTAAAGAATAGATTGGTAAGCTTAATTCACTAGAGAACAAGCAAGGAGGTGAGTTTAAGTTTGTGGACAATTTACCCTGTTAGCCCTTCAGTTGAATATAGTTTGGGGAATCCATCAACCAAGCCCTTTGCAAAACTGGGCTGTGTTTGAACCCGGACTTTGACAGCTTCAAAAGGACTCAAAGCCACATCAGCAAATACTTGAGCAGATGCACTGCTGAGAAAGAATACGAAACTCCTGTTATGATCTCCCAAGACGTCTGAGTAAATTTTCTTAAAGTACTCGTAGAGACCGAATTTGCAGCCGCCTTGAACGCCATATCCGAAAAACTTCCCAGACCAACCTCTCCAAAGGGATGACGGGCCTTGTTCTCTCCAAAGAGTAGAGAACCCTGAACCAATCCTGTTGTACTTGACAGGGTTCACCTAATAAAGTAAGACGATTTAACCAGATTAGCAGCCTAAAGTATCTAAATCACAGAAAGTGAAACTAACAAGAAGCAAAATATTCAGATACCACCATGTCCCTTATGGGAAAACTAAGAAACATTACAAAGAAATCAAACCAATTCATTTATGCCATCCAAAGAAAAAAATGCATTTTAAAGACTACAGACAGATTGGTATGATAATGATCACTGAAAGAATGACATAACTTATAAAAGAGCTTCTAATACCATTCAGTTTCCAACGCCCAAGTCCCTCTGATCATCACATTTAACATTTTTCAGTTACATTTCTTTACCAAAAACAAACCATAGACCAAAAAAAAAAAAAGAAAGAAAGAACAACAGTTTCTCAATGAAACAGACACTTTCAACAAAAATCAAACTTTGCTACTTTCTCACTTGCACCAAAACCCGGAAAGAACAAAACCTTCAAAATCAAAAACTAAAACTAAAACCCACCTGCATATTGACTTTCAAGACATCAAGAGGCGTGATGGCGAGGTGGGTAGTTCCAGCACTGAACATTCCTCCAAGAGTGCAAAGTCCATAATACCCCGGTGAAAACTCCTCACACACCCTTCCTCCCTCGATCCCTCTTCTCATCTTCTCTTTTTCCTTGCTCAACTCAAAACCCTGCCTCCAAAAACCCCATCAAAAACCCCAGGTACTCTTTTCCTTTGGCGGCTAGTGTATGCAAAGAACACAGAGAAGAGAAAATGAGAGAGAAACCCCAGATTCTGTTTTTGTCACGCTATGTGTTTATATATGGCATATGTTTGGAAGACGTTGTTTGTAGTTTACGTGTCAGATGGCGGGGCTTTGAAATTTCGGACTGTTTTCTCGTGCTAACTAGGGAGCCACGTTTAAGGGTTCCAAATATATGGCTTAGCTTTAATCAACGCCAACCAAAAAGCACCTCTTGGCTGATGCCTGATGGCTGACAATCAGCTAATAATCGTGAACAAAGGTAAATGAGCTTTTTAGATTTGTGAAATAGACATCCCAGAATTCTGGAAGCGAGACCAATTAGTATTCTTGGCCTTGTCATGTCGTTTTGGCCTTTTGGTGTAGGATTATGAGGAGAATTCTTTTGGTATGGTATCAAAATCTACCATTTTAATTGGACACAGTTGGTTTTTTTTTTTTTTTTTTTTTTAAAGTAATAGGACACAATTTTTAATTAGGAAGTTCTATGATAGAATTAAAAAAAATGAACTAATCATTATTTTTTATCTTTAATCATTAAATTTCTATCAAAAATTATCTATTATACATATTTTTTTAATATGATGTAATTTTAACTAAATTAAACAGTTAAAAAACTGACCCTAAAGGCCTTACCAAAAAAAGACTCTTTAATTATTAAGTATTTATTAAGCTCGGCTCATATCATTTTGATTTGGGTGTACCTAATTTAATATGAAGATTTGAAATCGTATCATATTGAATATCCTAATAAAACAATATAAACCGGCAAAATAATTTTCAACTTAATTACCTTTTTAATAAAACAACCCAATTACTTTGATCGGTGCAACGTAGGTGCCTTTTTTAAAAAGGTTTTCTTTAGGTGAGACCCACTAAAAAAATTATAAGTGGAACATCTTGTTTTCACCGTTAGATTACTTTTTTAATAGTCAGATTTGCAGAGTAAGCAGTTTTGTGTGGAGAGTTATAAATTTTTAATACGGACCCATACAGATTTAATAATTGAAAATTTAATTTAACAGTCCAAACATAGTGTTCCATTGGTGGGTATTTTTAAAATGTCTCATCATAGAGACTCCCATTTAAAAAATAAAACAGTAAGTACAAAATTTTTCGTTTCAAATAACAAAAAGTACAAAATACTTTTATTTAAAAAAAACTATTAACATTTAGAATATAAACATGACGGACACGTTTAGTTCGTTGATTCGAGTTTTTAATTTAAGTTGAAATGTGATTTTATGTAAGAACTTTTTACTATAGTAAAAAAATTAGATTTACTGTTTTTAAGAGTTTTTTACTGTAACAAAACTCAAATTCTAAACTCGAGTCAATGAAATGAACGAAAACGTCGTTTACAATTTAAAAACCCGTAGCTCATAAGTAATTTTATAACTGATCTCCCCTGTCTATTTTAGAGCAAAGGCAACCTGTCTTTCAAGACACAAATTGCTAATTTTTTTATACCAGAAAATAAAAATAAATAAATAAATATGTGTGTGAAAAGGTTCGTTGCTGCACAATAGACGTGAGACGGCATGTAGTTTAAAATGATGCCGTTATCTAATTAGGACAACGTAATTTTAAAAACGACTTATCCTCAAAAATAAAAATAAAGAGATAAAACCGACTTGTCGTTAAGAATATTTATCGTTTCATGAGGATAATGTCGATGTATGAAATTCAACAAGTCGTTCAGAAATATACGTCGTTTCTTCAAAACCACGACATGTCGTTTTGGTTATACCCCCTTCGTATTGCAACCTTTACGGTTCGTACAAAACGGTATTACGCTTTAGTTTTTTAAGACCCTTTTTGCTCAGAATTTAGACATTAAACGACAAAAGTGTTCTTTAAAAAGTAAAAAAAAAACAAAAAACAAAAAAATTAATTGAGATATGGCCTTGCAATTGTGATCTCCAACTTCTTTTATTCTTTTTATCTGTAGTGACGAGTACTATCATTCGTACGAAATCTGATATCTGTGATCTGTTGACTGGTTTAAGAAATGTTTCAGTTGACTATCATAGAGATTGTAACAGGGTGGTAAGTCATGAGCTTGCGAAGGTGGGATTTGGTTGTACTTCACGCACTGTCTCAGTCTGGCATGTATTTCCCCATGATGGGGGTCTAATCATGATCAATGAGAGCCGTTCGATTCATTGAATTAAAATTATGAGATTAAAATAATTTTTAATTTACGTGTATTTTTTTGAGAAAAAATATTATAGCGAACCATAAATTATAATTCGAATCAGAGAACGAATCATCTAACCAAACGGGCTCTGAATTAATTCAGCGAAACAAATAGGGTTTTAAGTTGTAATTCTACAAAGTATATCTACAATCAGTACATAGTATGAAAAATGATCCCTCAATGACGTGCAGTTCATTTGGAGAGATTTAGGAATAATAATAATAGAGTAACGTTAGAAATACCAGCTCAAATTTTAATTTTTGTGTATCAATTAATGTGACACGTGAATTGTCATCCTTTTATTGGTAGATATAATCTCTTTTATTAATTGACATGACAATATTTTAAATACGCACTAATAAAAAAAATAACAACTAATATATTACTTTAGTTAATATATAAGAATTATAATTTGAGTTGGTGTCATTAACCTTATCCATAATAATATTAGTATATTACAAATACATAACGAATAAATCCCATGATTGTAGGAGAAGCTAGTGGAGCCTTATCTGATGGTTGGAGCAGAATCTGCAGCAGCCAATTTGATCAGAGGTGGCTGATGTTGGATTCTCTCTAAAATCTGGCTCTATCATTGGGTCTAATTTGTATTCTGCTCTTTGAGCTTTTTTTTTATTTTTATTTTTTTTAAGGAAACTACTTCATTTTTCTTTTTCTTTTTTTCTAAAAAAAAAAGTTAGGATTTTGTTTTTCCATATAATATGTCTAAATTTATGCTTTTATACATGAATGTATATAAATTCAAGATATAGTAATTGTTCATGATAATTTAAGGTGACTTTTAGTTTATGAATTCAGAATCATAATTTATGATTCTAATTTTTAAAATTTTAATTTTTTGTGGGAGAAAAATATTATAACGGAATTACGAACCATGATCTTAAACTAGACATTTACTCTTGAAACAAACGTCACCTAAATTGGTATTGTTTTTAGAAACTAGAAAAAAAAAGTTAAGAAGGAAAGAAAGAAAGCAAGAAAGAGGACTGAAAATGTTCTTTATTGTACTACAAACCAAATAAGGCTCTAGCGTAATAAGCAAATTGTTGATAATTTATATTAATTTCTAGAACAAATAGCGCACAAACAAAAAAAAAAGGGAAAATATGAAGGAAAAAATAAGAAAAACAAGCTGCAATAATAAAAAATAATAATAACAAAAAACAATGAAAAGAATCATATAAGGAACTGTTTTTGAGAGAGATTAATTAGTATAGATAACGCTAATCACCTCTATAATATACGTATGTTTTGCATACATTGCTGAAAAACAAGTATTTTGACAACTCCCATGCTCAAATAATCACGCATGTACAACTTTCTTCTGTGTACTTCCGCTGTCCTCCATAAATAAAAATTTTGTCACATGCGCAGCACGTTAAAAAATCTTAAAATGTAATCCTATGTATTTTTAAATAAAAAGATTATTATTACTAATACCTCCTAAATTTTAAGGACATTATCAATTTATTCTTTGAATTTTACAAATTTTCACTTTACTCTTTAAATTTTGAAAGATTAAGATAAGATGCTAAGATTAAGATTATATAAATGAAGGTGGAGTATAAACATAATAAATAAATAAATAAATAAAAAACATTGAAAAACAAATTACAAATTATAAATAATAAAAGTAACAGAAAAAATAAGAGATGAAGTTAAGATGTGGCTTCAAGTGCACGATGGACGAAAGCAGTCTATAGGTTTTTGTATATGTTAAGATAAAATAAAATAAGGCAATAATAGTTCAAAGAATATCATGAAAAAACTGATTAAAAGGGAAATATTTGGAGAAAAAAATGTTTTAGTGACTTTTGATATAAGAGGAATTACACATAAAGTAAAAAAATAGAGACATATTTGCAGAAAACTATCTTAACTATGGATAAAAATAAAAAAAGAATAAAATTATATAGAAAAACATACGAAATAAATTATTTTTATAAGAGTAAAGCTAGTAAAGAAAACATTTTTAACATTAAAAAACAAAAGAAAATATTTATAAAAAAACACTATAACAAAATTTTACTGTAAAGAAACATTGACAAAATAGAAAAAATAAAATATTTAAGAAATATATAAAAGCAAATCTAAAAGTAGGAAAAGCAAACAGAAAGAAAAATAGCCTAAAAAGGAAGGGAAAAAAAGGAGGTTGGAAAGAGGGGAAGAAAGAAGAAGAAATTGCATAGTCTTTAAAAAATAAACAGTAGTAAGGCATTTTCTCTTTTACGTATGTTAGATGATATTAGGAGCCCGTTTGGTTAGAGGATTCGTTCTCTGATTCGAATCATGGTTCATGATTCGCTACAGTATTTTCTCTCACAAAAAACACACGTGAATCGAAAATGGTTCTAATCTATGAACCAAATGAGCTCTAGATTATATTTAGATTAGATGATTGAAAAAAACAAGAAATCAAGTTTAGACGTAATATGAACAAAACGGTCTACATGCATTTTACATATGTTAAGATAAGATAAGATTAGATAATAGTAGATTAAAATATTGCAAGATAAAATTGTTTAAAAAATTTTAGATGAAAATAATGTTTTGATGGGTAATCATAAAAAAATATGCATAAGGATAATTGTTGATATAAAAGGTATTACACAAAAACAATTAAGTAAGGATACATTTATCTCAGTCATTAACTAAAATGAATATATATATATATATTATAAATATATATATAAGAACACATATGAAGAAATTAAAAAGAGTGAAGTTTTTTTGGTAGTATATTCATACCAGTAGTGTCTATTTATAACAGTTGAATCGTGTGAAAATCAAATC